TTTCAACGTTAACCATTCACATTTGATTGTTATATTGAAGTACTTTTTGTTTAGATAATAAACTTCAAACACAAACTCAAACTCACTCAATGTTGCATTTCTGTCACTTCAGTAGTTTGAATATGAATTAGAATCAACCACAGAAGACAAGCCTGTTATACAAAGTTCAGTGGCCACTGTCTTGGAGCAGCATTTCCCCAATGTTTGCAGTCACCGTCATCGGATCATGTTGGGGAAAATACAGTCAAAGAGGCAAGACTACCTCTTGGAAAGTGATGTTATCAAATTACAAGAACTTGACTGGATTGAAGCAGCCTCAATGGCAAGACAATGGGTGTTGGATAAACTGTATTTTGAATTATTGGAACACTACAAAGATCCAAATGGAGACCAGGACAGGAGATCCTTCAAGCATAATACATTCCATCTCAACTTGTCAAAATTGCAACATCAGTTTAACGTGAAGAGCTTTGATTTAAGCTATTTGATAAACGTTTTAGTTCCAGAAGGAAGAAATGACGGTCAGTGCTTTTCTTGTTGACATGTTTGAAAACTTGAACGATCAGCGAGTGGTCGACAATTCCTCTTTGGGTATGTGATAGAATATATCTGGGTTTATACATGTAGGTGGCCTGACAATTGCATGTGTGATATTCTGATAGTGGATGTTATATGTACCGTCCATATTGCCGTGCTTCAAGATTTTTCTAGGAAGTTTGTGATTTTTTCAAAATGTTGTCTAAATATTTGTCCGTTGAAATGATGGTTGTGGAAAAGTTCCAGTTACGGAAAATATCGGCGAGTGGTCGACAATTCCTCTTTGGAAATGTGATAGAAAGTGGATTAGAAGGAACTTTTGTAAAGGGATGTTAGGTGAATTCAAACCATCAATGGTGAAGGGTTTTGTGGAAGAAGCTGCTCTTTCATCAGATGGGAGAGGTTATAAGACATTCTTCACCCTTCAGCTGGCATTGATGGCATTGAGAATCAATCTGCTACTGACCTGCTGTCAACATCAACTGAACATGATAATTATGAGGCAGATGATGTACATGAACCTAAAGCTACTCACCACTAATTGAGGAAAGAAAAAGTTGCCAGTCAGTGGCAAAACTTAAAACCAGCAATGGTCAAGGCTTTTGTCAAAGGGGATGCTCTTCCATCAGATGCAAGCTGTGTCATGTGCGAAGATGCTGCGGAAGTATCATGTAGAGACTTTGGACAAAACGCCACCTTTTGTTCAACTTGCTCTTAAAAAATTCATCAGATGCGAGATGCGCAATGTGTGAAGATGATGGGTAAGTATCATGCAGAGACTGTGGACCAAGCGCCACCCTTTGTGCCACTTGCTCAGAAAAAATTCATCAGATGCAAGCTGTGTCATGTGCGAAGACGCTGCAGAAGTATCATGTAGAGACTGTGGACCACGTGCCACCTTTTGTGATACTTGCTCAGAAAAAATTCATCAGATGCAAGCTGTGTCATGTGCGAAGACGCTGGAGACAGAAGATGAAGCGGAAGGACGCCCTCAGAAGGTCATCCAGGAGACCTGTACTTTCTCACTCTCTCTCTCTCTCTAGGTCATGGGGTCTTTTGTCTCCAGCCATTTTTTGCTGGAGATTTCCTGCTATGAAGAGGGGAACACGTCATCTATACGGTACTCTTTGGGACTGCAAGGCAGTTTTCAACACTAGTTGTTCAAAAACACGCTAACGGAACCCTTGTTGTTTCACTAGATGATGACGGCAATGCAAGTTAAGTTCTGACAGTAAAACAAAACAGCACATGGTGTGTAAGAGTCTACTGGAAAAACATTGATGCTAACCATCCTCACTTCACTGGCATCAGGTCAATCTGAATAATGCTGTGGACGTTAAATCTCTTGTAGACACTTTTCATTCGTTGAATGTGTGCCCAGGAAATGCAGAACATGTTGCCCTTACCAAAGAAAAGTTGAGAACGCGCAGTGTCTACCGCCACAACTACCCAAATGGGGCAACCATCAGGCACATCACCTGTCCACTCCTGACGTTAGAATGTCACTGTGGACCTTGCACCATATGTAGAAGTTCGCTGGCTGCGGCTGCTAGTAAGAACTCTGTTGCTTCTTCAACAAGTACAAGCTTCTCACGCTTCAAGCCTTTCCAACATCTTCATCCTGACGAAATCAAAGAAAAACTTTGACGATCACAAATCTCTTTAAAAATTATTAAAGAGTGCACACCTTGGAGGAACGCATTGCCTGTTCAGTGAAAAGGGAGGCAGAGGAACTTCCTCGTGACCGTGTGCAATGGTTAAAGTACGAGTCGTCCAGACAGACGGTCCGACACTTGGGACCTCAATTATGGAATTCACTACCTGATGACATAAAAAATAGCCCATCGCTTGCCTCTTTCAAAGGCAAATATAAACAATGCCTTTTGAAATGCTAAAATATGTTGATTTTTTTAAATACTTACTACACCACCTGAATTATTTCTGCTCAAATATTTTTTGTGTATACTTTTCCTTCACACAGACCACCTGTTTCCTTTTTTGTGTGTAGTATGTGTACTTAATTATGTTCTGTACCTACCTATATATTATTGATTTATTCCTGGAGACCAGCCCTTGACAGGTCAATGGCCTCTGTTGGCTCCACCACAGTCTCAAGTATGTGTTCTAGGTGCTTAAAATTCTTTTAATATTGTTAATTTGTTATGTTATTTCCTTGTATTGTTTTGTTGTGTTAATCAGATATTGTATGTAAATTGTTTTATGTTTTTTATGAAAAGTGGAAAGAAATGAAAGCTGGATGATTGGCACTATGCAAATAAAATAAAACTAGATTGATAGTAAACATAACAATATTGATTAAGACTATTATAGAGATATTGATTGTGATGGTGTGTAATTTAACATTATTTGGAACGCCAAAGGGAGTTATAAAATATGATCACAGGGGAAAATATAACTCCCTTGTGGTAAAAAAAAATGTATAGTACTCCCCCTTCCAGTTAATATCTGTTATGCTTGATAGCCTTGATCAGGGGTAATGGTGAGCACTACAAAAAAAAAAAAAATCTTCATCAACAACCCCCCTCCCCCTTAAAAAAATAATGGCATCAAACAACAACAACATCCCCCCTTTTAAGTGAGAAAATTGGGGGGGGGGGGGGAATAGGGAAAAGAAGGGAAAAGAAGGGAAAAGAAGGGAAAAGAAGGGAAAAGAAGGACAAAATCATGAAAATAGGGGTAAAGTCAGGAAAATAGGGGTAAAATCAGGAAAATAGGGGTAAAATCAGGAAAATAGGGGTAAAATCAAGATGGAGAAAAAAAATCTGGGAAAAAATAAATTAAAACTAGATGGAATTCGACTGCGCGCAGTCGAAAATGATGCCTCCGTCATAGAGCAATTTTACAAACCAAAACAGAAGACATTTTTCGAATTCAAGTTCAATTGTAATCCATTAACAGGTTCTCAGAATATCGTGATTACAAGCAATTTCTCATATACATATATGACCCTTTGATCTTTGACCTCATGACCCTAAAATCTACTCAGTTCATTGGCTCTGCAAGATGTCCTGAGTTAAATAGTAATCCATCTGTCAGTTCTAATGAGAATGTGTTCACAAGCTATTTTTGCATACATAATGAGCCCATGACCTTTGACCTTTGATCTTATGAACCAAAAATCTACTCAGTTCATTGGCTCTGCAAGTAACATACATGACCTAATTTTGGCAGGAATCCATCAATCGGTTCTTGAGAACGCGATCACGAGCTGTTTTTGCATACATAATGTGCGTTGTGGCCTTTGACCTTTGACCTCATGACCCCAAAATCTAATCAGTTCATCTGCTCTGCAAGTAACATACATGACCTAAGTTTAGCAGCAATCCATCAATCGGTTCTTGAGATAACGCAATCACGAGCTGTTTTTGCATACATAATGTGCGCTGTAGCCTTTGACCTTTGACCTCGTGACCCCAAAATCTAATCACTTCATCGGTTCTGCAAGTAACATACATGACCTAAGTTTGGCAGCAATCCATTACTCGGTTCTTGAGATAACGCGATCACGAGCTGTTTTTGCATACATAATGAGCCCTGTGACCTTTGACCTTTAACCTCATGACCCCAAAATCTAATCAGTTCTTTGACTCTGCAAGATACATACATGACCAAAGTTTGGCAGGAATCCATCAATCGGTTCTTCAGATAACGCGATCACGAGCTGTTTTTGCATACATAATGAGCCCTGTGACCTTTGACCTTTGACATCGTAACCCCAAAATCTAATCAGTTCATCGGCTCTGCAAGATACATACATGACCAAAGTTTGGCAGGAATCCATCAATCGGTTCTTCAGATAACGCGATCACGAGAACGGGACGTACGTACGTACGTACAGACGTACGTACAGACGGACGGACGGACAACCCGAAAACATAATGCCTCCGGCTACTTCGTAACGGAGGCATAAAAACGGATAAAAAACGATTTAAATCAGGTAATTATCAGGCCTGCTTGATTAAACTTTGTTAAGAGTAATTGCGTTTTTGTGCCTTGTTGTTGTTCGGACAACCAACCTTCTGTATAAAATACGCCCAGCTAAGACAATGAAACAAAGAGTATGCGCAGGGATGCTTAGGTATGACATAAAGTAAAACTATACTTATTTGAAAAATTACCAGGAGTGAAATAATTACAAACCTCGCAATTAATATCATGTGACGAGCTGTGGAGCAATCAAGAATTTGTATAGATCTATAAGAGCTATCTAATATAAACATACATAAATTTGTACTACATGTACTTTAATATCAAAACGTTCAATCAAATCAGTGTCTTTCCTTGGCACGTTGTTGAATATTGCATGGTGTAAACTGGAGTAGTAGTTTATAAGCCTCACTAACATCTTTATATAAAATACAAATAAATAGCACTACTGTACATGTCTATATTATATGTTAAATAAAAAAATCAAAATATTTCAGCCCTAACATTTTTTTTTAATAGAAAAATAAAAACCTCTTGTCATCTTATTGCACAAGTAACTGCTGTTATCTCTCCACATACTGCAAACTGGTCTTGAGCACCTCCAGTAGTCTTTGGTAGACAGGTGTTTCTGATATCTTAGTACCTGATGGCAGTCCTTTCTGTTGAAGACACTCCTGGAGAACAGAGTCTATCTGTCTGGCTACCTGTGTTGGAGGTAACCTGAGCAGCCCTGGAGTGCCGTAATGTCTGCTGAAGATATCTGCACAGACAGCCTGCAGATGAAAATTGAGAAAAATATGAAGGTCAAAGAAAAAGATGAAGACACAGAGAAGAAGAAAAATTAAAGAAGAGGAAGATGAAGGAGAAAACGAACACAAAAATAAATAAGATAAAGAAGAAGTAGAAGCAAATGAAGAAAAATAAAAATAAAAGAAGCAGAAGCAAGTGAATAAGAAAAGGAATAACATGATGAAGGAGAAGAATACGAACAAGCAGAACAAGAAAATGAAGTTTTTGAAAAGAAGAAAGGAAGGAGAGGATTCAGAGAAAAGAGTTTTTTGTAATCTTAAATGACAAAATTGATTACATACATGTCAACAAAAAGTAAAAGCAGAAAGGAATAGACATAGGTATCAAAGAATGGAGTAAAGAATGGAAGAGAAAACATTGACATTTACACTTATGAAATTTCTCATAAAGACAACAAACCCACCTGGCATCAATTCTTAATTTTGGTGTTTTACATTAAAACTAATTAAATTAAACACCAGAATGATTCACAATTATAAATTATGCTTTAGACCATTGTTATTGTTCCTTAATATCAAAGACCATGCTGAAGAAAATTTTAACTCTACCTTAAAGTACTTTTACATCAAGCTCTATGTAAAAGAAAGAAACAATTATTCAGTTTTCACAAATCGCTGTTTAATAAGCAAATAGAATTCTCCCAGCTAATGTCGTTACCTGAAGATTTGTATTAGATCGCTGACTATTGCACCTCCCCGACGTTGTATTGCAGGACCCTTTACAGTCAAAGAAATGGCACTCTTGGGCAGAAGTGCACTCTGGCTGGTTGAGAGTAGTGTCCAGCTGATTCTGGAAGAAGGTGATGTCCACATCGATGGCCTTGACCACCCAATCCTGTGTGACTCCAAAGTTACTGTGCTTCACGTCGCACAGGTGCAGTTTCTCCGGGAACTGATCGTCCACGGCTCCGATGAACTCAACCATGGCCATGGCGACCTTGGCCCGATTCAACCAGGGCAGGGAAGCCAGCTGATGCTGCATGCTGATGGCGCTCGGGTTGAGGATATACCCCGGAGGCACGTACTCCAGGATGTAAAAATGGCCACACGTGCCGTAGATTTCAGGATAATGGCGAAATTGGTTCCAGAATTTGTTGAGGACAAATTCCTCTTGCTGCAGCAACGCCCACAGGCTAATGATTTCTGAATCGGTTAGTCCTTCTGGAGTATCTTCGCGAGTACTATATTTGCTCTTCCACATGTGTTTGAGCAAGTCCTCTTCGGTCATGTCCAACTCAAAACCAAACTGCCCTTTAACCTGGTGATAGACCATGGATGTGAACAGCGCTATGTCGGGTACCACGGTCCTCATGGTGCCCTCTTTGTCAACGATGGAGGCAAAGGGTCGTGGATAGTCTGAAAGATGGCTGTACTTTGACTTCAGAATGACAGGATCCCCCTTCCAGGACCCACGGAAGACCACCTTGCCCCGGTGGTAGTTGAAGCAGGAGACATACTGGATAGATTCGGTCTGACACAGATCATAGCAGAGATTGCCATCTACGTGGTTGCTCTCATACAGCTGGCACTGAGGGCAGAGACAAAGAGCAGTGGGAAATAAAATAAAGCATGATCATAAACAATCACAGACAAATATTCATTATAAGACATGAAATATAAAATAATTAGTTAGTGAATCGACATGTACACCTGTACAACATACTTTTTACCAAATGACGTAAGTTTATCCTCTCAGTTTACTTTATTTCCGTACCATTTTACCTCCAACCAATAATACAGTGTACAGTGATTTTTTTTCTACAAGTGAACCATCTACTTTAAATGACATTAGATCAAGTACTAAAACCTGACAGGATGTATTCCACAGCAGTGCCTAAAGCCCAATGGGAGTTTCACTTTCGTATCACGAACATGCAATACAAGCTCAAGTGATCACTGCCTGACCTAGGCCTGACCATTTTCCAGACATCAGGCCCCACTTTTAGACAAACCGTGAAGACTCCTTCTTTCCCCTATACATGCTTACACTGTCTTTTACATTTGCAAAATTTTACTCACCAATTCTTTAAGGATCTTTTTTGCCTTTTCGTCTGGGCAAATAATTGCAAGCGACTGGGATACCTCATGGGTGAAGTAGATTGCAAGCACTATCATTCCAACTACTAGACTCCTTACCAGGAGTCTCTTTGAAACTTTTCTCATGGCTCTTGTATTTCCTCATTGCATTTGAAGTAAATCATCACTTCCAGTCCAGAGGTTTCTAGAAGAATATCTGCCATGAAAAATATGAAAATCAATCAATATAACAATGAAAAAAACATGTACACATGATGAAATATATTTCAGGGATGATCAATTATAAAGGTGTGAGGGGTCAAAAGTCAAAACTAACAAAATACGATACACTGTAGTAACAAGTCTCAGTAATATCTGTCTATTGCAGCCACCCAAGGGAAAGAAGTGGCAACTTGAGAAAAATTGCCTCCCTAGCCCTAGACAGGTTATGACACACCTCTCTCTGGCGAACTACAAACTACATGTACACAACAGACAGGTTGTCAGAAAGACAGGTTAGACTGTACATTTCTTTCTTGTATTTGTATATTCTTAAAATTCTCATTCTTGCTGGGAACCTCTGATTGCCAAAATAGGTGTTAGTGGATTTTCAACAAGCCTCAGGTCTTGACTGAGCTATTGCCTTTTGATAATAATAGCAATTAGTTTAGTGTATTACCGGCAAGTGGTTTGCACATGCATATATGTAGAGTTTGCTGAATTAAGCAGACTTCCTGCCCATGCCTTGCACTAATAGCTATTGTTGTATTAAGTGTGAAGTTGGCAAATCAAAAACAGGCATTTTCAAGTGCATGCTCTCCACAAAACGGAGACAAAATTACTGCCAGCACTAGAGTATTGGTGCAGTGCATGATTTGATTTCTTAATGTTATGGAGGGTTTATGTCGAGGTTGTTAATAAAGGCAGACCCGTAGACTTCTACATCTATCACAATTTATCTTGGTTTAGGGAGGAATCACCCTTTTTCCCATCAAACTTCAATTCAAAGACTTCTTCAAATTATAATATAATTTCACAAGTGGTTGAACCAGGCGCGTACACAGGGGGGGGGGGGGGGGAGGGGTTGACCCCCCCCCCTTTGGTATTTTTTATGTGTGCATTTTGGAGGAAACCTCCCCCCCCCCCCCTTATTTTAAAATTTTTTTTTTTTTAAATTAGGTAGAGTGCCCAGTATTCAGTCACTTAAGGGGAAATCACTAATATTTTGAATTCTTACCTCTTTTATTTGGCAATCTAGTATCTACCCATCAAAAGAAAAGAAATTTATGCCTCTAACAGGATTTTACAGTCACTTAAAATATAGAATAATGATAAGCAAAATAATGAATGTCAATGCGTTGACCGAATACTGGCCGAGCGATACCGCATGGCAAGGGTATCGTATAAATACCTCTCATACATCGGCAAGTGCGTCATTTGCAAATTCACTGCGATGGAGTGAACACGAAAGTGATTCTCTTCACACACATGCTAAATTCATTGCGACAGCACACGCAGTTGTTTCGCAATAGACTTCTACATAAGGCTATGGCTGCATGTTAGCGCATGTGCTAAGCTAGAGAACGCGGAAATGCAGAAAGTTGTGTGACGCTGACCAATTTCGAGCTAAGTTGGAGATCTTTCCGGGGCCCTAAATCTGATTTAATTTTGAGAGTTAAGAAAAGTTGTTCAGCTGCCTGATTTGTGCGAGTTTCGTGGCTCTGACTTAAATTATTTTTTAAATTGTTACAGCTGTTGAAACGGCTGTCTGACCGAATACCAGGAATGGACCAAATACTGGGCGCGCTACCCTATTTAAAATAAAAAATTTAAAAAATAAAAATTATGCCAATGGCTGACCCAAAAAAGGTGTCCTTACCCCTCAACAAAGAAAAATGTCAAATTTTCGGCCCGATTTCTAAATGTTAAACCCCCCCCCCCCCCTCAAAAAAATCCTGCGTACGCCACTGGGTTGAACGGATGCCAAGAGGAGTGGATAAACATCGTAATTTGTATGTCAAAATTGTAATTACTACTTCTTTACATTTCGAAAAAATGTGACTGGCTGAAGTAATAATGCTGACCAAGCAATAAGTTGAGCCGCGCTGCATGCTGCATTGCACTAACGTTAGGCGCACGCTTGTACTAGGACATGGCGGAAACCCAAGCGCGAGGTACAATACAGCCGACATCGGAACACAAGTACAACCACATGCCACAACATCATAACTGATTATTGACAATATCACTAATACAAGCAACATAACATTAATTATTGAGTATATTTCCTACCGAAGAAGTTCTAACAAAGTTAGTCATCTTACCACCCCAGTCAATAGAGTCACACTTCATTAGTTGCACGTTCAAGTTTCGCAGTTCAAATTATAAGTCATGCGCCGTAAGTGGCGCTAAACTTGATATCGTTCCAAATATTCTCTTGAGCTGGCTTGGATCTAGACCGAATTTTCCGTCTCTTTCGTTCGTTAGCCTCTCTTATTGGGGTAGGGTCGGCTCTCTCTTTAGAGACGGAAGCCGTTTATACACATGTCCTTGCTAACGCCACGGCCAGTTCTGGTCGTAGCGTTTTGCCCCCCAAATCCCCCAAAATGTCATTTTACCTCGAGCATGTTATATTGTAAATTAGGCCTAGGCTATAATAAATCAGTTCCACTTACCAACTTGACTGAAATAATCAGTTTAATAGTCCCTTTTTAGGAAATTATGGGTCAAAATCGAAATCCATTTTGAAAATCTTTTTCAACATGGATTCCGATTTTGACCCATAATTTCCTAAAAAGGGACTATTAAACTGATTATTTCAGTCAAGTTGGTAAGTGGAACTGATTTATTATAGCCTAGGCCTAATTTACAATATAACATGCTCGAGGTAAAATGACATTTTGGGGGATTTTGGGGGCAAAACGCTACGACCAGAACTGGCCGTGGCGTTAGCAAGGACATGTGTATAAACGGCTTCCGTCTCTAAAGAGAGAGCCGACCCTACCCCAATAAGAGGCTAACGAACGAAAGAGACGGAAAATTCGGTCTAGCTTGGATCATGGATCAATCATCACCCTTTGACTTTGTTATTTCTCATATTCTCCCTTTTTGATCGACAACCTTGCCGTTGATTGAGTGAAATGTGTAAGTCAGTTCAGCTAGTCTCCTATTAGTGTTAATTTTTTCTTATTTATTAGGTGGTTTTATTTAAGTGTGTTGTTTGTGGTTTGCAGTGCAGTGTAACTAATCTTTTTAGCAGGGAGATGGGAGAGAGTGTTTGGGACTAACTCGCAAGAATCTGGCGGTGGCCAGCCGGCCAGGAACTCGGCTCTGGCAGCCTGCATGCGCGACTTTCGAATGGGCCTTGGGCTTGGGCTTGGGCTTGGGCTTGGGCTTGGCAGCAGCTAGCTGCCTTGCCCTTGGCAAAGCCCAAGGCCATGGACCCGGCTAGTTACGTCTACCTTAGTCCTTAGACCGAAAATTTCTGGAAATTCTGGACTTAGCATATTTTACTGTAAATTGACAAGTGCTTTGTCCACACACCATTCCAGCAATTCATGACACTCCTTGTAGTCACTTGCCTCACCTACCATCCCAGTATAGCTTCCTGAGTGAGCTGCCAAAGGGATTACCCAACCAAGTACCAAGTACCAAGTACGTCTGCGATAAAGCGGACGATCCTTATTTTTGCGGATGCGTCTTTTTTTTGCGGACGCGTCTGTCCATGTTTACAAAGACGATCCTCGTTCATGCGGACGATCCATATTCTCGGACCAGCGCCCCTACTGATGCCATGGCCATTCATTTATTACACAGACAGAGGGAGTCGGAGGAACCAGATGTAATCTTAGCGGAACAAATGTCGATATCATGATCAGCACGTAGCTAGGATTTTATAGGGCCTAGGGGGCAGTATTGAGCATGCAAATCGTGCAAATCACTTACAGAGCGCGCCCCCCCTCCCCCCCCCCCCCCCTTGGGGGGGGGGGGGGTAGGTGCAGGGAGGGGGGAGACGTTTCATTAAGATGTCTGAGAAAGAAGACAATTCGTTGAACAGTTCTCACCTCTTAGTCCTTGTCTGAATTCAGTTTGCGCGGAAGCTTTAACGTTTCATTATTATTAGAGAAAGAAGACGATTCGTTGCACCATTCTCGACTCTTAATCCTTGTCTGAATTTTCAAAAATGTTTCTTTGTCTGCTCCTTTTTCTTCCTACGTCCTCTTACTTTTTTCTCTTCTCTCTCTCTGTTTTTTGTGGGTTTTTTCTGGTCAATATCATTATCAGAGACTGAAGCTTTCGGTCTAGGCCATGCTATGTTTAATCTATCTACATGTACTAGGCTCAAGGCATCACACTCACAGAGATTGTAGACTTTGTTACTGTTTTATGGTTCTTGTTCAAGCAGAATACAGTTACTATTGACAATGACATTGTTTCAAATCCATGCCCATGGTAATAATATACAATGAACTTCAATAATTTCTTGATTTGTTGTCATATTTATGCATGTATTCTATGTTCTTTTATTTGTCTCTCAATATGTAGAATAGAATTTGCTTCCATGGGTGTTTGGTTATATTCAGCTTCCATACATACAGTGATGTGTCTCTTTGTAAGAGGGATGTACTACATTTAGTTGATGAAAAAAGAGGAGATGGATGCAATGGATGACTTAGATTTACCAAAGGCACAAGCCATGCCGTCGATTCCCGTAGCCTCCGATGCTCTACCTTCAGGCTCCAATCCTTTACGAAGGTCTACCTTTCCCACTCTGGCATTACCAAGTGGAGGTCTGAAAGTGCCCTCGAAACCAGGGCGCTACGAGACCGAGGTGGACACCGCACCCCTCACCCCTCCCAGCTCCTCCCACAATCTACAGCTTGTCTTTGATTCCGGTAAAATCTATGATAACCACCCAAGAAAGTACAGGTGAAAAATGAGAATCATTCATCCAGTCACTTTTCATCATTTTCTCCATTCTCATTTTATTTTAATTGTTGGAACTTTCCATACATGTAAGCACAAGATTTGACTCTCTGAATTTTTTTCAATTTTTGATTTAAATGTGGATTGAAGATGTTGTAAAGCAATTCAATCTGTTTTTTGTTTGTTTTTGAACTACTCAATCAAGTTTTTTGCTTATGAAATTTTATTTCGCAGTGCCTTTTCTTGATTTCCTTCTACATGTAAGTTGTCAATGAGTGTATTGCATTTGATTTATAACATGTTGAATATATATATATATATATATATATATATAATATAGAATTTTTGGGAATTATAACCATTTTAACCCCCCCCCCCCCCCCCATTATATATTAACAGAATGTATATTAACAATTTTGTTAAGTGTTTTGAAGTGTTTGCAGTGCCATATATTGGTTTAATGTGCATGCTGTTTTGTGAAGGGTTTATTAATTGATGTATTGTATGATAAGATAATGAAAGTAAGAAGAAGTTTTGTTGACAGTGGTCGTGACAGGATACATGTACATGTATGTATGCACGATAATATTAATGAAAATTGCCTGTGCTTTAGTTGTTAAAAGATTTTGAAATGAGAAGGACTTATGAATTTAAATGCAATTAATTGCATATTTGACTATTTTTAAAGCTCACGCACAAAGAGTTGAAAAATAAATCTGTTTAAAATTTCAACTTCTAGTGTGAATCGTTAAAGAATGTACAAATTTGACATTGATTGACAGGTTACTGTTAGAAACTGACAAGGATAATAGTGGCCATAGCAAGAATCTCTCCCTGTCGGCATCATCCGCCACCGATGCCGCCCCTACCAAGCCCTCGCCCCCATCTGTCACGGTCCAAGATGGGCAAGTCGTAGCCATGGGAACAATGACCAGTGGTCCTGCGACGGGTCCCAGCCCCACGCCAGATGCAGCAGCAGCAGCGCCAAAGTCGCTAGCAACATCTGCTGCCGGAGGAGCCCCATTCACCCTTTCTGAAGCCATTTCATCCGTTGCTGTCAAGAAAGAACCAGGTACTTGGAAAGATATTTAGAAGATTTTCAACCCTTACTCTAACCCTAACCAGTCACCATTAAAAATGTCTACGAGATGTTATTTAGAGAAAACATACATATTATAACCTCTCCCCCATTTAAAAAAAAGACGAAAAATGTAATAATTTAAAAAATGTAAAAAGAAGAAAAATAGTCGTTTACATGTAAGAGGAAAACAAAAAGCTTTTAAAGAGAAAATTAAATTTATATTGTTTAAGGCTTGTCCTAATTTTCTGTGCACTTTGAATTTTAAGTGATTGTATCAATGTACATGTACCAGTACCTGGTATGTACATGTACCAGTACCAGTATCTGGACCTCTAGGAAGATCTGGACCTCTAGGAAGAACAGAGCCATTTTAATAATGGCTCTGAATAGAGCTTTCCAGCCGTTTTTTAATTCTTGATTGGTATTATTTGTAAATTGTATTCTTGTATGTACTGAATTTTTATACGGAAAATAAAACCAAACCAAACCAAAGTACATTTTTTTTCTTGATTTTGCATGAATGTAGTATTGTTCTTTTAACATTGCAATATACATGTATCTCTTTACAGACAACTTGAATACAGGATTATATCAAGGAGATTTATAAGCATACAAAGCAAAACATATTTTAATGATCATTGGTCACCTTTCATGATTATGATTTATAATAATAATAATAATAATAATAATAATAATAGCCTAATAGTCCACTCCAAATTTTATTAAACCGAAACGGAAATTCTTTTTGCCCAATTGATTATGATTATGATTATTACTACAGTCAGATAGAGAGATGTGTTAAGTTCGTTATAATGAACTGAATAGAGATGAAAATCTCTGTCCGATACTACAGTACATTTGAAGAAAAAAAGTATTGTTTTTTAAACCCTTTGAAAAAGAAAAAAAATTGTATCCGTGTATTCTCTTTGAATCATATTTCTGTGATCATGTCAATATCTATTCATTTGGACTCATTCAGCTCTATATTCTTTACAAATTATTTTGTCCAACAAATTTTCGACCATTTACCAGTGCAACCTGTATAAAGACTGCTAAAGGGGAGACAAGAAAAGTAGTCTTCACGGGTATGTAGTCTTTGTTTCCAGGCTCCTTTGTTTTCATGTTACAAAGAGAAACACTATTCAAGGGAAAACAAAACATGCGTTTTTAAACAGATGATCGCTATTAAAAGGAGGTGTCACTATATCATACACATACTTTGTATTTTATCTATTATGTGTTCCATACAGGTGGATCTCGATATGTTCCTCAGGAGTTCCTGCATACATTCAAGGCAGCCACAACGCTTGGTCCTACGTCCGATCAGAAAAGCCAACAAAGAGCGGGAACTTCGTCGTCGGCCGAGATGCCCCGTTCATCAGGGAAACCAAGCACAGGAATGGTCCAGAGAAGCAATGCACCGATCTCTAAGATATGTACATCAGAAAGGTAATTATTACTTGTTTCCTGCATTCATGCAAAGCTTGATAAAGCCCCTCAAGAAACCATCATACAAAATATAATAATAATAATAATAGTGTAAACTTATAGAGCGCACACACCGTCCAGGGACACTCATGGTGCTAGCTCAGCAACATTTTTTTTTTTAAAGCTTATCAGTACTAGTGTAAAGGAGAGATTAGACCAGCCTGCAAGGTCACTGGACAGGTGGTTATCTCATCAACTCAGCTCTCAAATAACATAAGAAAAAGAGGATCATGGGGGACCAATGGTCACTGATTAGGCATTGTTTGTTATATAGAGGGTGCAAGTAGCTACAAGTAGTGCAGTGGGCCTTTAATACATGTACAAGTAAAGTAAATGTTTATTTGATAATAGAGTTACATTATCAGGAACTCAAAAAAAAATGTTGCACTTTATGACATCGATGGAGAGAATTTCCACATTTCTGCATCATATAACGTAGAGATTAGTAGATGGTGGCCTATTATTTTATTTCTATTTTTTTCATGGGGGAGGGGGGGATTCACTAGGTCACTTACTTCACCGTCAATTTGCCATTCATTTACATGTTGAACAGTATACATCTGAATGCAGATATGTAGCACAACAATTTCAATTATAGAAAACCAAAGGGGGGGGGGGGGCAAGAACATCAGCATTGTTAAAGTTATTTACTTATGAAATAAATGATCAAATAATGTTAGTTTTTCATTCCCAAACATTTAGCACCTCTTGACGAAAAAATTTAGCAATGGAATTGATATAGCCTACATGTAAAAATGTAGAAGCATTGCATGACAAAAACACCTTTACATTTCCTTTCCCCTCATTATTACATTGAACTGCAAATGCACTCAGCCAAAACAAACACTGTTGTATGCATATCCCATCATGATGGTTACTCATTGTCCACTGAATGCTCTTTGGACTGGAACCCTGGGAAACATGTGAACCGGTCTGGCACATGAGCGTCCTTAAAGATAAAGTTGAGTTCTGGTCATGCGATTGCATAGTGAAAGAAACAGTGTGGAATCGATCAGAAAAGATTGATCATCTAGTATATATAACTATTGGAACTCAGTAATATTTTGCTCCGGTTCATAACATTACGAACCAGAGCAAATAACACTATAGGAAATGTATATACATGTATATATAATTTATTTTCTTTATTCCTCTCTTTATTAATTATTCATCTATAGAACTGATGTGCCTTGTGGATCATGTGCTGTAGTGCAACCTGAGCCCCGCCGCCTCTTCGGATTTGGACCCTTCTACCGCCCCCTCCCAGAAACCGTCTGTGCCACCGAGGGGCGTCGCCAGAGCAGCCCCACCTTCCATGTTCCCAGTGAACTCTCAGAGGCTGTTGATAGGGAAGGGATCACTGGGGCGGGGTACTCTGGAAGTAGGAAGAGCAGCCGTGCTGCCGTGGATAGCACTGATAGTGGTGCTGCTGCTAAAGGAGCAGATGGACATAAGAAACTTAGCCCCACCCCTGCGGAACTTAATGCTTGGCTAGGTGGATCATTCTAGCAGCAGGACTCAAAATCAGGATGCCCTGGATCCCTGGGGCAGGGTTTTTCTGGCAGTAAGAGAAGCACTGCCAAGACATTGATCTACATTTGCCACTCCCCACCCAGGTGTTAAATTGGTACCCGGTAGGATGCGAAAGCTAATGTGGTATGCTTAGCAATTTGAGCCTAGTAGCTCTTGTTGGAATGCTCCCCAGGGAGTGAAGAAAGTGCATACATTGTGTGCGGGCAAGCCAGAATCCGCGGACCGGGGTAATAATGCAAAGCGCTTAGAAACTCAGACAATCCCGACGTATTAAGCACTATATAAACAAAAATACTATTACCGGTATTATTATTGTTATAAAAAATATTATTATTCAGGATATCAGTTATAGTGGTGCTACGGAAACCGATAGCCATAAGAAACCTAGAACTTAGATGGAGATGTGCTAGTCAATTAATGGTTCATGTTGAATCTATCACTTTTAAACGCATGAATGTGTGAAATAATTTGGAGTGTTATGTCTTACACCTTTCTTAAGTTATTCCTCTTTCTGTTCAAGGTAGAGACAATACAAATACTATTATAACTGTTATTATTATAAAGGTTGGTTGGTTGGTTTTATTTTCTGTATAAAAATTCAAATACATACAAGAATACAATTTACAAACATAATACAAATCAAGAATTAAAAACGGCTGGAATGCTCTATTCAGAGCCATTATTAAAATGGCTCTGTTCTTCCTAGAGGTCTAGAATTTGTAAAAGAAATACATGCATGTAAATTGTTTTCAAATAGGAAAAGAATGAATATTTGAAAACAATGTACATGCATGTATTTCTTTTACAAATAATGTGGAAATTGATTAGAACAGATATTTAAATCTACTATGATTAATAAAACTTTTTTTTTTTTATTGTCCTTGTCAGTTTAGAAGCAAGTTAAACTAAAATTTGAAACAAATGTCAACATGCAAGAAATTGTAATTTCCATGTTAGAATCAGTCAATCAGACAATCTTATTTATTTTCCTATTGAGGCCCCTGCACTAATAAAATTGTGAGGGCTAATATGTGTCACCATGACAATGTTCTTTCAGGAGATAAAGGTAAGGTTTTGTGTGGAGTTAATTACTATGATAGTACTAAATTCAAAGTTGACTCATGTTAATTCTTGTCACTCAATGTGCTGCGTATACGAGTAGGGATTCTTACTATTATGTTGGTTGGTTTATTGTTTGTTGTTCTGAGCACAATCATGCAATTTCAATTTCTTGTGCATATACTGCTAGACAGCAGGTCTTACCATGTGGTATGGAATACATAAAAAAATGAAATGATCCAAACCCACCTTATGTTGCACATACAGATTGTCAGTATTGTTTTGTTTCATTTACATGTGTAATTGTGTATAGCTCATTAAAATCTTCACATGGTGACTGCTGCGATCCAGAAAGGCGTTGACCCTCAAAACATTGTCAAATAACGCCCTTCTGTGCAGATGACATTTCTTTCTAAAGCTTTAAAGCCTATATGTACTAGTTTATGGGAGGGATAAGACCACCCTGCAAGGTAACTGGACAGATGGTTATCTCATCAACTCGGCTCTCAATTAACATAAGAAAAAGAGGATCATAGGGGACCAATGGTCACCGATTAGTCATTGTTTTCTATATAGAGGGAGTAAGTAGCCACAAGTAGGACAGTGTGGCTTTAAAAGCCTTTGTTAACATGACATGTATCCACTTTCTAGTGGTATCAATAGGCTTGGAATATTAAAGAGTTTTGTTATTATAAATGGGACAGTTAAATAGGACCACTCAGCACTATATTCTATTCACATGCAGCTTCCAGTCTTGTTTATCTATATGTGGTAAAAAGAAATTCATCAGTGGTGTTATTTTGAGAAATATTTTGTTTTATTTTAGTGAGAGGTTTGTGTGATTGTCATGAATTAAAAGTACATAAAAAATAATTATAATTTGTGACTTAAGTAAACTCAACACTGCATACACAGCCAGTCATACAGGTAAATGCAGACTTCAACCAATGACTTGATAAAATGTGTATTTGTTTTATCACTACTTTTCAGAATAAGGTCCTTTTATATTATTATAGCTACCTTGCCATAAAAGTATTTTATTAGCAAATTGTTATATTTATGGGCCAACTTTTCTTCTTTTTTCCTGATAATTTTGTCATCCAATCTGAAATATATTTATCTCATTTTATTGCAAAGAATTTACATAGATCTTATGGTCTTTTTGTGATTTATTTTAATGATGTCCAAATTAGCCATGTACAGTCAAACCTGTCTATAGCGACCGCCCAAGGGAAACACAGAATGTGGTCTTTGCAGACAGGTGGTCTTTGTAGGCAGGTGGTCACTAAAGCAGGTTTGACTGTACTTGTTTTGTCAAGTAGTGAGTTTCACTTAAATGTAAAAAAAAAAAAAAAAGGGACCATGGAATGGTTTAATTATTAGGTAATATGTTTAATGTTATTTGATAGCAGTATACTGCTGAAATAGGAAATAGAGGATGTGTTCATCATGTGAGCACTGAGTTGACTCACACAGTGCAAAAGGAAATGCTTTACCACAGAATTTGGTTGCTCCCAATTCCATTAGGAATTTGAGAGCTTTTTTTTTTCTTCTTCTTTATATTATACAAAAACTGTAATCATCATTTTCTGTGTGTAATGTAAGATTCTGATGTTCTCATTATCAAATTTGTATATTTCGTCCAATCTTTATTTTGAATATATTTGACGACATTTCACGGCTTTCTCTGGATGGGCTATCTTGTACCCTTATATACAGTTAACTACTGAATTGTTCATACTCCTTGCAAATTTAATGTTTATTGTCTTTTTTAAAGCTCAATGATGAAAGGTGGGCTGGTTGAATTAGGGCCTGTGTTGAATACGGGAAGATGTAAGCTTTAATTTGTCACGTTCTCTAGAAAATTAAATTAGGACAAATCAATTTTTCATATACTTAGAAATTACACGACTTGATAGGAGTATGAATAATTTAGATGTTAACTGTATATGTATCATTTTAGTATGATTAAAGAATATACTTGGCTACAATTTGTATTTGTGTGGTGTAATTCTACATTGGTCAGTGCTTTGACGTAAAAGCAAAACAATAAGTGTCACTTTATTTTTAGTACGGTTATTAGGGTAAGGAGTTTATGCAGTAGTACAGTATGTACTCCTGTGCACTGTCTTATAAAGAGTTGCGATTGATCCAAATCAATGGCAAGTCCTCTTTTTAAATCAATCGCAAGTTTGCAGTACCTCATCTCTTATGTACATAATTGCAATTGATATCAATTGCAAATAAGTTGCAATTTATATCAACTCTTTGTAAGATCTGGGGGATGTTTCACAAAGATTCTAAGTTGGACTTAAATATTATGGAGAGCCATTTTTAGCCTTATAATGAAATTTATTCAAAAGCAAAAATTTCAAGTATTTTAGACTTTTCAAGTTTTTATAAATTCCACATCAAGAACATGAAATGTCCCATGATAATAGAAAATATGAATGATTTGAATCAACATTTTATGCCTTTTAAAATAACTTTTACAAAATATTTTCAAGGATGCTAACCGCTTTCCATAATTGGTAAGTCCAACTTAGAGATAAGTTCAACTTAGGATCTTTGTGAAACACCCCCCTGATCTGTTTACATTCTACTTGTATCTCTTCATACACAATGTGTAATTTTATGTCATGTCAGATTTTTTTTTGTGTGCAATTTTTTGTTTGGAATTCACTTTTTGGAATAGATATTATCATCCAATCCAAAAAAAAATGTGAAGTACATTGTCTGCGGAAATGTGATATGTTACTGTTGATGTTGATACGTTTAATTTCATGGTGTTATGGATGGTAGTTTGAAATATGATTGTACTGGTAGGAAACTGTTAAACTCTATTTTTATATGTTATTGTTTATTTTCATTGTTATGTACCGGTACATGTATGCAATATGGTATTATTGAGTCTGTTGAACCGTACTCTGTTAATCGAATATGACTAAATATCAGAAATTTCTTGACTGCCCTAGAGATATATCCTTTTTATGTAAGGTAAGGGAAATGATTAGAAGTGAGGAATTTTATTCCAGGTTTTTTTTTTTTTTTTTACGCTTTGAGTCTGTACGCTAAAGGCTGCACCACACAAGTTGCAATAGGCTATTTTCATAATGTACCAAATTCAATGCTTACGTCTTTGAGAAGTACCTCTTGATTATTTCCTTCACATGCTACAAATATAATTGTACCTCAGTAGTCAGCTTGTAGTGGAAGAAATAATTTTGTCATTAAAGTATTTGAAATCGACATGATTCAAGGCCTTTATATATTATATAAACATGACTAAATTGCTACATGGCGTGGTACTGTAAAGACCAATGACATTTTTCATTGTTTATGAAAAATGAAAAATCTCAGGAGCCAATTTTTAGGGTAAATTATATGGCTGTACACCATGAAGGCACTATGAAACACTGTAGATCAGTTTGACCTTTGATAGAACGTTATGCTGTGAAATTCAACTGATCCTCCCAACAGACATGTATCTTCTGTGTTATTTCCATTCATATGTTGTATCCATGAAAAAGTATGAATAAATATGTGGTGAATTGTAAAAGTGGAAGAAAACAATTTTCAGTCTTTTCTGTGTGTTTGAGAAGAAGTCCACCTTGTCATAACAGAAGAAGAAAAGTGAGAGAACAAGTCAGTGGGCGGAAATCTTTTTTTTTTCATTTTCTTTTCTTTTTCCTCTAAACAAAGTTCCCTTTAGGCAAGATGGGATAACAAATATTTCTAACATTTAGAACTCAAATGCAGGGAAAACGTGTCCTTTTACATAAATATTTTCTAAAGTTTTCTGCGGAAAGGGGGCATGGCCCCTAAACCCCGCCATGGGCGTTCCCCCCGGACCCCCATTTAATCTTCCTCCTTTGGGGGAATTTCTTTATCTCATCCCTTTATATACATTCCTGTATTACAGAAGAAAATTGCCATTTTAAAGAATTCCCATGAAGAACATTCTTGTTTCAAATGGCTGAGTTTTTGTACATTTGTGATCTTGTAACAAAATGTGATTATCATGATATATCTTCTATGAAATGAGGTAATTTATTATATTCTACAATTTCCGTTTCTCA